AGGGAGCAGTCATTAGGTTTATGCAGCATACTCTTCCTTCCTCCTGGTTTGCTGATGTCTTTTGGAAGTTGACATGAGTGACTGATCCACCAAGGGACATTGAACAGAGAGATAGATAAAGAGGTGCAGAGGGAAGGCAAGACAATGCTAGAGATAAACACTGTGAGGCCAAAGCCACTTTGACTCCAGTTAGGGCCACGACAACTCTCCGTTATCAGTATGTTAGTATTAGAAAAACAAAGAGATGATACCAAAGACAGAGTCAAAATTGGTAGAGAAAGGTCTGTTTTTCCAGGAACTCAAACCATTCTCAGTAGATTAGTTATCTCATGTGAGGAATGCAGTGAGGTAGCTGTGGGCCTTATTTTTACAGATGAGAAAACCAAAGCTCAGAAGAGTGTTCAGAGAGCTCCAGTTGAACTCCAGAGCGTTGTACTCTCCAGAGCTTGGCTCTATCCTCTTTAAGAAGGCTCACTTGAGATTGGATTCATTGTACCCATAAACCAGCTCGCGATTTTGTTCGCAGAAACTGGGATACAGAGAAGTTTGCTGATTTCCTAGGAGCTGAAGCCACAGTTGCTGCAGGTTGGTTGGAGCAATAAAAGACACCAGCCCTGTTCCTGAAGTCCTTCTGCAGTCATGAGACTGCATGTTCACACAGATGAGGTGACTCTGAACCCCATTCAGTGCTTATTTTACTTTTGCAAAACACAGTCCTTTAGTATGCACGGTGCCCCAGCATTTTCCTCCCTTTTTAATTTCTTGAACCCCAGGTTCTGTCAGACTAGAAATCAAAGTTCTGTGTCTCGTGAGGGAAAACAGGACTATGGAGAGGGATATGTACAACACACCCAACCTGTTTATAATATTAACACTTGAGCTCCACAATACCATTTCATTAAGCACTGCTGTTCATTCAGTTGGGAGAGACACATAAATACAGAATGAATTGGCACTACCATTTGCATGCCTTCAATCTTTGTGACACAAATTGCCTATTATTGAGAATATGAGCATTTTCAAAAAATTATAGACAGCTGGAAAAACGGGGTTGGAGTGAATACTCAGGATGAGGGGAAAGCACACTGTTTTATGCTTTATAGTAAATGTGACACATTTTCTCTAATATTGTTTCCACTATTTCTATTCTAATTTGAACAGGGGACCCTGCTGCTGCTAGTGTATTATAGGCCCACAGCAAATGTAGCTGCTGAGATACTGTGTTGCTAATACCACAGAATGCTATAGAATTTCATTTTGAGGACCAGGAATCCAACTTTCTCCCACTGCCTGTGGCATTTTGGCTCTTGAAGCAGACAAGTAACCTTGGTCTTGGCATTATCAGATCAAAAAAGTTCTCTTTGAATCTCATTAACCTTGCTGTCTTACACAAAGGGGACAAAGAAGCCAGCAAGGAAGTGGTTTCCCTGGCCTACTAGGTGTTCTTAGCATCCTAGTCAAGGTGTGCTTGGAAAGTAGGGCAGAGAGAAAGAGGCACCAAGATTAACATATGAAAGAAGTCAGGTGGCTGAAGGACCCTAACCTCTCCCCACCTGGGTTGTCTGTAACCAAGCAGAGCATCCCTGGGAAATGCAAGCAATCTGCAAGTGTGGGAGAAAGCAGCAGTGACCTAGAAAGGGTCATTGTGGGGAGACTTGGGATTTTTGAGCCTGGGAGCTCACCCAGTCTCCAGTCCACTCTCATTCTCAAGAGCACCATTGTCTTTCTTAATGGACTGTAACTATTTCTATCACAGTCCACGCGCCCCTATTTCACTTCTTTGTTCTGTGACAAAAGAACCTGGCCATTTCAGTGGGTGCCCTCCGGATTCAGATTCATGCTTATAACAAAAGATTCTTGCCGGAGCTGCCTGTTGTCCGCTCAGTCTCCAAGCATCCAGATGCAGGGCTTCTCACACTCCACTTACTATACAAGCCAGACTGACCTGTGTGCTCTCTGAATCATCAACCTTTTGTTGAAAACCATTGAAGGACAGTTCTGTGAAAAATACTGAAAACCTCACCACATTTTTGAATTAACCAGAGGCTCTGCTCAGACTGCAGTGTCCTCCTTATCTTCCAAGTACTGAAACCTACATGCTTATATGACCTTCTGCAACCAAAGTTCTTCCAAGGAGATGAAAAGCCAAAGACCTTACGATTCAGCCTCCTCTTTTGCACTTTGCCTCCCATCTCAATATTTCTCTGGAAGAAACACTCTTGTGTGTCCAACCTGCAGTCTGCAGGCAGCCTGCTGAGAATAGCTATGAATGTGGTCCAAGAAAAGAATGATAAATTTGCTTAAAACATTATGAGCTAGATGCAGGGACTGAGGCCTTTAATTCCATCATTCAACAGGCAGAAGCAGGAGGATTTCTGTGCATTCAAGATCAGTCTGGTCTACTGACCAGCAAGTTCTAAGCCTTCCAGGACTACACAGAAGGTATCTCAAAACAACCACCATTTTAGATTTTATTTTTTGCTATTAAGTATTTTATTATTTTTTTATTATTTTGCTATTAAGTGTTTTATTTACACACACACAGAGAGAGAGAGAGAGAGAGAGAGAGAGAGAGAGAGAGAGAGAGAGA